ATTGTTTCGAGACTACCAATAAATCAGTAATATGAGATGTATTCACACAATTTCGTTTAAGTTGATAAAGTTCTGGTAAAAGAATTTTCCCATAATGATATGAGTAGATCTGACGTTTCCATTAAATTTCACAGAGCCCTGCTTTCCCAAAAGTTGTTATCATCCCAAATGGACTGCAGTGTCGACCTCGCATCGGTCTTATCAAAACCCTCAGCGGGAGTCGAACCGCAACAGTGCAGGATGGGAGCTTGATACGTTAACCACTCGACCACATTGCCACATTCAATGGAAACGTTAGCTCTACTCATATCATTGTGGGAAAATTCTTCTATCAGTCCTTCATCACCTTAAACGAAATTGGGTGAATACATCTTATTCCTTCGCCTAAAGTGTACTATTTACCAAACAACTCGATAACCTAACCAGTTCTGTATTAGTGGACGCAACTAATAAAATTAGACCTAAGTGTTACATTATGCGAAATTACTTTTTTTAGCTGACCGTATTACATTGCTTTAAAATTCTATTCTTGATATTCAAGTAGTAGAAAAAGCTTGATAGAAATATCTTATTAGCTCTATTGTACGAAAAACAGTTGTTTTTTAAGTTATCTCCTGGCTTACAAGTGTGTTTGCTAAAGAGAAATGAAGGTCTATTTCGCCAAGAGTCCGCAGTCGTCTCCAGGTGAAATCGACCTAAAAACATCTATTCTTTTTCTACAATATAGCAAATAAAAATTTCCAAATTATTAGTCAATCCTGATTAAGATTTCATGTTATGGTGTAGGGTAAAGAGGACACTTCCTTTCTAAAACGTATGCATGTGAAAGAAAACAGTTTTTAAAGAACCTTCTCGATTGCAGAGGGGCAAGCATTAGTTCAGGACTCTACAGTCCTGCTCCAAGTTGATTAACAAAACGCATCATGTGGTTTAAAAGTAAAAGTAAATCAGTAGCTGAATTAGTAGAGTTTCAAGCTAAGCTTAAATCTTCATGAGAAAGAGGATCACCTTTGGGTGTTTTGGTGAGTCAAGTCCCGTCAGGCTGTCCAGCTTGAAATAAGGAGGAGCCTTCGGTTCACACTTTTATCTCATCTTTTTATCCGTGATATACCGGGCGGCAAAAATATGCTCTATTTCGTGAAGTATGGATAACTGCTCAGTTTCACCGGAGTCGCAGGTCGGTTTCCAGTGAGACCACATCACGAATTCCTTCAAACCAACTTTCCCTTCGAAATAGAGAGTTATGCCACTATATTTCTTTAAGGCATTCATCGAAACACAGTTTTCTACTTATCTCACTTTGCTTTACATTTTATCCCAAACTATGAAGTTATGTGAGTTATACAATGATTTGGTTAGTCGATGTCAAAGATTAATCTAGAAGAGTGTACGTGCTTATGCTTATGCAAGAATATGTGCGGTGAATATTGTTGACTCGTTAGCAAGAATCAGTTGCAAGAATTATACCCTGCACTGAACACGTACTTTGGATGGCAGACGTAGGCTCAGCACGGTTTTTTCCAGAATTGAAATATATTTTTTTGAAAACAGCGTAAACCAGTATGTTTCAGTGAAGCCTAACGACATCTAATCGTCTTCTTTTGAGATAACTTTCAATTCTATTTATAAAATATTTTTGTTTAAAATTGAAGTAAATTCAAAAAATGTAAACCAATGGATTTTCTTCCTATAACTGGTACCCTATGGAAGATATTTCCCAATAAAAATGTGGGTTGAAAAGACCTGCTTGAACGAAACAGGGTGAATACAGCTCATATAATTGACTTTCTGGTAGTCTCGAGATCCTACTCATATAACAAAAATTAAGTAATGTAGTCGATTGTTATAGCAAATATAACTTTGCTCCATCGACAATACCTCCAAAGAATGCGATAATGGAAAATTCATGGTCTTCCTTGAAATTCACATTTGTTCTGTCACCCAAGGACAATCGTGGCAATGTGGCGTAGGCGAGAATACACGCTGCACTTTCCTGGTTCGAGTCCCACTGAGGGTGTAGGCAAAACCTAGACATGGTCGAAACCGCAGTCCACCCTGAACGAGAACACCTTTTGGGATAGCAAGTCTATGTGAAATTCATTGGAAACGTCATCTATATTCATATCAGTGTGAGAAAATTCAACTACTAATCCTTAATCACCTTAAACGAAATACGGTGAATACATCTCATATAACCTGCTTATAAGCGCAAAATATGAAATTATGTATGTCATGTACCCCTCTTAATTGTATTAAATACGAAATCCAGTTTTCCTTCTAGCTATTTTGAGCAGTATGGCTGACAGTCTTTGTAACCTCATGCAAACTTAACAGACTTTACATTAACTTACTCTAGTCCCTGTTTATTCAAGATATGACCCCCAAATAAGAGATAAGAGAGACCCTGTTGTCCTTTAAATTATATGCGTCGTCAGCCTTACTAAAAATTGCCTTGTGTGCTCCAAATCGACGCACGCGATCCGAGTTCGAAACCCATCGCCGACGATGAAGATGAGATACGATGGATCTTTCCCTTCTCCTATTATGGCAACGATATAGTGACAGCTAGTTCCACACTTAAGGGCTTTTTATTTTAACGTGAGCAATTAAACTATCCCCAAAGTTAGCAAAAGGCCATTTTTATTGCGTTATTTCCAAATATATCTTTAGTTTTGGACATATTTGAAGTCATAGAAGCCAAATATTTCGGATAGTGGTGACTGTACTGGAACAAATTAGTTTACGCACTAAAAGGAGTTATTCAGTCTTCTAATGGTCAAGATCGCGATCATGCTGTTGAAGAATAAGGTTAGCAGGTTGTTTCTATGATCGTTTGAATTGTACAGACCTCTTTTTGAAAGGATTCTTACATAATTCACTACCCACCAACCAAGGGAATCATTTGGGATACTTCGTTTATCACGTGTCAGATATTATTGAATCAAGTGAAGAAGTAAATCAGGTTAATTTAGTCAAGAAGGTCTACAGCAAATGATAGGTTATTTTGCGAAATACTATAAAAAGTTTATTTAAATTGCTTTTTTACGGAACTGGAAATCGATTACCGATCGACACCTACACCTATTTTTTAAGATTACGTATCGCAATCAAATCACCATGAGAGGTAAAAAGATGGGAAAATGCTATCATTAGCGTGCGGGTATTTATAAACGCAGAGTCAGAACATAGATATTATTTTTTCTTTTAACAAGCTTCGCCAAGAGCTATATTAATTTAATGTAAAAAAATAGTACTACTTTAATCATTATAGCAGTAGTATACCTGTTCGTAAAATTATGACGATATTTTAGTAGTCCTCAAAGTTGTTTTGAAGATTAACAG